TAGAGGCGATCTGCGTCGGCCTTCAACTGCGTCTGGCGTGCCTCCTCAGCCTCCTTGGACGCATGCTCGTTGGCCGCCGCTGGAATCGCATGTCCCGTCGTCGCGCCATCCAGAACGGTACTCCTGGCTGCGCCTGAACCCACTGCGGGCTTGGCGCCGTCGGTGCCGCCCGCCTGGCTGGACCCATTGTTGGCCACGCGTTTCTTCGCAATGCGTTCGGTCAATTTTTGCTCCTGGAGCGCTGCCATCTGCCATCCAGGAAATCATACTCATGAGAGGGGAGTAGCACTCATACAACGTTATGACGATCGACGGAGACGACGCCGACGACGAGGCGAAGGCGCGCAGACCCCCAGAAATGTGCAGGCGATGACGCCGCCGCCGCCGACGACGACACGACGACGACACGACGACGACACGACGACGACGACGACGACGACGACGACGACGACGACGACGACGACGACGACGACGACGACGACGACGACGACGGCGACCTCGCCGACGGCAACGACGACGGCGGCGGCAAAAACGACGACGACCACGACGACGACCACGACGACGACCGCGACGACGACCACGAAGACGACGGCGGCGGCGGCGAGGCGAGGGGGCGACGGGGCGCCACCGGACAGTGTGGCGCCGCTGGCCGCGAAGTGCCCCTTCGTGACCGCCTGGCCGCGGGGCCCCCCCCCGGGGCCGCGCCTGCCGCGCTGTCGGCGCGGTCCCCGTGCCCTCTGCAGGGCCGAGGCTGCCTCTGGCAGCTGCTGCACCTCTGGTGGGCCTCCGGGGGGGGGCTCTCGCTGCAGTGCTGCAGGAGCAGCCAGAGGCCTCCGGGGACCGCCAGGGGGGGGGGGGGCCTCTGGGGGGGTGAGGAGGGCGGGAGGAGGGGGGCGGAGGAGAAGGAGAAAGGGGGGGGAGGGGAGAGGGAGAGGGCGACGAGGGACGAGGAGAAGGGGAAGGATATGAGAGAACGGACGGCGAGGACGCCCGTTCCTGTCAGGGCATCCTGAACAGCATCCCGCTCGCCCCAACCACACATGCTCAGGGCTCTTGCAGCCAATCCCAGAATGCGCCTACGCTTGGGTGGAAGGTTTGCACTCTCATCCTCGGCTTCACTCACGCGCACGGTACCGTACTTGAGGACCTTGCGCACACACTGCGAAGAAGAGGAAAGAAACAAAGACAGATCTGCAGCAGCTGTCATCTCAGCTGCCGACGTCGATTTGGGTCCCAGGGGTATCGATGTCGCTCGCCACCGATGGTGCCCGCTAGTGCCAGTCACGATCTCTACCACCCATCTCGCTCCGACTCCTTCAGACCGTTTCCTTACCTCCAAATATCCCACCACTCTCGCGCTCGTGCCGAGGTACAACTCATTCGGGGGCAGCAAATTATCTCCGAAAGGTCTGGGATGCATGAGTAGAATATGTCGTCGTGGCGTCCTCTGCTGTCTAACCACACGACAAACATGTCGTGCGAAGTAACCACACGAACAACAGAAAAACAAAAAAAAAAAAAAAAAACGGGCCCGCCGAGGAGGGCATACTAGTCCAGTGTTAGCAGTGACAAGTAAAGATTGCAATGAAGTCACGACTATAGGTCTGGAGGCTATTCCCGTCGGAAGACGGTTGCACTGAACGCGCGTTCTACTCGAAACACTGCGTATCATGGTCCTCCCTCCCCAACGCCCACACGCATGATGTAACGGGAAGAGGGACCGCATTTCTCCGTGACCTCCGAAACGAGATTATCATCCACGCTACCCACTCCCCCCCAACACACACACACACACACTTGCACCACCACCAGCACCAGCAACATGCTCTCCAATCTCGGCCTATCACAACAATTCCCAAATCTTCCCGGCATGTTATGTTATTCTATCCCTGGCGGTGCTCCCACGCGTTTTCACTTTGAGCGACTCCCGAAAACTTATTTCCGTGCACCCGTGCCTGGCCTCTTGTGCCTGCACTGTATCATCAAATGTCTGTAAAATTACCAAGCTCTATAAGGTGCGGAGTTAAGGCTGTCAGGGGTGTGCTACAAGTAATCATCCCAGAACGATGAAAACTCAATGGTAAGGATGTGAGCGCCTCGACAGTGTGCAAATCCTGCGGTATGTGTTCAAGTGTCCCAACTCTGCTACAAACCAATGCGTACAGAGCGATGCCGTAACCAAAGAGCCCTGTCTCATACGAAGGAATGACCGTGCTGCGCATACACTGTGTTAATCTCTCGGGCGGGAGGAGGAGGTTGAGGATGAGGGGGAGGAGAACGAGGAGGACAAGGAATTACGAGTTTAGGCTTGTGCACCCCACTACACATGTCCTGTCTCGATATCTCGATTTCCATGACTTCCTGAATCCCCATCTCTGTCGCGCCGCCGAGCTGGTAGTGTGAGCGGCGACTCTCGGAAGAGGGCGATTGAAGAGGAGGATGAGGCACCGCAGGTGACTCTGGCAAACAGTGATGTAAGGTGGCTGTGCAAGCACGGCGAAGATTGTCTGTGTCTTTCTCTGTATCCGGCTCAGCTCTGTAGGCGAAATCCTCGAGGCAGGAAGCGCGGCAGGCATTGAAGCGCGCCAGCAATTCTGAGCCGAAGACCTGGCTGGCGCGGAGGCGACAGCGCCCTTCCGAGCCAAGAGTGTTGCCAGGGAGCGATACGTGATGGCCGGCGCCGGAGTGAGGCACCTGGAGCCAGCTCCAGACTATCCCCTGCGACGTATCCTCAACATTATCCCGCCTAAGCGCTGGTCCCCATCCTCTTCTAACTCCTACAGTGGGCCTGTAAAATAAGGATGTACGATAAGGATGCAGGGCCGGTTCGAAGCTCTTCGAGCGGGGCGCGGCCAACGAACGTGGCCAAGGATGGGCCGAAGGGGAAGGATGCAAAGGTAACTATGGAAAGCTGCTCATCCTTACTATGCGGATTGACTCTAACTCCTACTCAGATTCCTCCTGGTCGCCCTCACCTCATCTTACTCCTTTCCCCTCCTGCTCCTCCTGCTCCTCCTACTCCTCCTGCTCCTCCTGCTCCCTCCTCCTCCTTCCTCTTCCTCCTGCCCTCCTCCGACTCCTCCTCCTCCTCCGTTCTCCTCCTTTCTTCCCTCCATCCCTCCCTCTTGCCTCCTTCATCCCTAACGCTCCCTATTCCCTCCTCCCTGACACTCCTCTTCCCTCGTCCCTGTTTTTCCCTCCCTCTGCCCTCCTGCCGCTGACAAGGCCTACATGGCGCAAGGCTGGGAGGCCACATCCCAGCCTGCTTGTAGGCCCTCGCCATACCCCCTCCTAATGCAAATGCTGGTAAGGCGCTCAGGGTCCAGCGCCTCACATGTCAATGCCCAGTTCAAGAGCTTCTCCAGGAGCCTGACCCTGCCCTGCGGGGACTCCCAGTGCTTTCCCGTTACCCTTTTCTGGTGCACTCCCCACCCGAATTGTTTGTTTGGGCTGCGAGCTCTCATGTGAAGACCATGTCAAAAAATATGAGCATGACCGACCTCCAACTCCTCCTCCTCCTCCTCCTCCCTCCTCCTCCTCCTCTTCTTCTGAGTCGTATTAGTATTGTTATGTTGTCTTGGTACTACTATCTTGTTATTCGCATTCGCATTAGTCATATGGTTACTCGTCTTGCTATCCTTATGATTAGAACCATGTGTCGCCTTCGTCATCGCATTAATAGTATTTTTCGTGTTAGTTGTATGTTTCTCATGGTCACGATTATTAGTAGTAATACGGCGATCAGTATCATTGGTATTATAAGTCGTCTGAATAGTATTAGTATGGTTGATGTTTTTATTGGTGGTATTACTCTTATTGGCAGTGTGAGTATGCGTATTCGTAATACCCGTATTATATTTCATATTCGTAGTAGTATTCGTCTCAAGTTGTTATGGTTCGTCTTATGCTTAGGTTGATTACGAGTAGTAGCAGTAGTCGTCTTATGCTTCCTATTCGGTTAGTCGTCGCCTTCGCGTTCACAATAATAGTACTATTGTTGTCGTGGTATAAGTTGATTAGTCCTCGTCTCCGTCGTGATATTATTCTTCGTACTATTAGCCTGCTTAGTGGCATTCCTTTAATGATATGATTATTCAGGTGTGCCTTATAATCTGTCGTGTTCGTCTTCTCATGTTTCCCAGTCTTCTTGGTAGGAATATTCATGTTATGGTTATACGCATTAAAATATAGGTAGTCGTACTATGGTTCGTACTAGTCTTCGTGGTCGTACTATTCGTCGCAGTATTAGTCGTATTCGTCTTCTCCGTATTAGTATGGTTATTACTGGCAGTAGTAATCGCAATACGATTCCTAGTCGTCGTCGTATTCGCATTCGGATCAGCATTCTTAATAGTGTAATGAGTATCAGTGGTCGTGTTACCCCGAGTGCTCACATTATGGTTCGCCGTCTTCGTGTTATTATGGCTGGCCTTTGCCATAGTATCAGTATGCGTATTGTTCGTCGTATTAGTGTTAGTGGTCGTCTCCCTCGTCTTCGTAGCATGATTAGCCTTGATCGTATTATAGATAGTCGCACTAGCAATATTTTTATTGTTATTCGTAGTACGGGTGTTAGTCGCATTAGCAGTCGTGTTAGTGTTCACCGTCTTCGTAATAGTGGTATGAGTATGCTGAGCATTACTAATCGTAGTATTAGTATGTGTCGTAGTAGTTTTCTTATTCTTAATATTATTGATATGCTAACTAATAATATGATTAGCGTTGCTGATACCGGTAGTCGTATTGTTCGTTGTGTGCCTCCTCCTCATATTCCTCCTCCTCAACATCCTCCTCCGCCGCCTCCCCCCCCTCCGCTTCTCCCTCCTCCTCATCATCATCATCCGCCTCATCCTCCTCCTCATCCGCCTCCGCCTCCGCCTCCTCCTCCTCCGCATCCGCCTCCCCATCCTCCTCCTCATCCTCCGCCTCCTCCGCCTCCTCCTCCTCTTCCTCATATTCATCCTCCGTCACCTCCTTATCCTCCTCCTCATCCTTCCCATACTATTAGTATGATGCATCGTCGTCTTAGTATTCCTCCTCCTCCTCCTCCGCCTCCTCATCCCCGTCCCTCCTCCTCTTCCGCCTGCTCTTCCTCCTTCTCCCCACCCCCCCCTCCCGCCTAGAAATCCTCCGCCTCCTCCTCCGCCTCCTCCTCACCCTCCTCCTCCTCCTCCTCCTCCTCCTCCTCCGCCCCCTCCTCCTCCGCCCCTCCTCCTCCTCCTCCTCCTCCGCCCCTCCTCCTCTCCTCCTCCTCCTCTCCTCCTCCTCCTCCTCCTCCTCCTCCTCCTCCTCCTCCTCCTCCCTCCTCCTCCTCCTCCTCCTCCTCCTCCTCCTCCTCCCTCCTCCTCCTCCTCCTCCTCCTCCTCCCTCCTCCTCCTCCTCCTCCTCCTCCTCCTCCTCCTCCTCCTCCTCCTCCTCCTCCTCCTCCTCCTCCTCCTCCTCCTCCTCCTCCTCCTCCTCCTCCTCCTCCTCCTCCTCCTCCTCCTCCTCCTCCTCCTCCTCCTCCTCCTCCTCCTCCTCCTCCTCTCTCCTCCTCCTCTCCTTCTCCTCCTCCTCCTCCTCCTCCTCATCCTCATCCTCCTCCTCCTTCTCCCACTCCTCTTCCTCCTCCTCCTCCTCCGCCTCCTCCTCCTCCTCCCCCTCATCCTACTAATCCTCCTCCTCCCCCAGCCCG